TTTTTTTTAAACTAAATAAACTACCCAGTATGAACACTTGTATAGCCCTTATTAAAAACATTCGTTCCTCAAGTTGTAAAAATGTGCTAATAACGTTATTCTGAGAGTTATTTCCCCCTGCATTATGAACGCGCATCTAACCCACGGGACCGCGCCACGTTCATGTTAAGTGTTCAGCACTACATGCGTTTATCTTTACCCATGGATGTACAATAAGAACGGACCCATATCGCCTTACTGCCAGCCCACGGAGCTGTAATAATGGATATATTGCACATGTTTGCTGTAATTCATCATTTGTAAAATATTATACTACATGGGCTGTATGATTAAATCTTGTACCGTACATGTTGTATTAAATAAAGTTAATATTACCGACGTAGATTAACGTCCCTGTAGCTTCTTATTGCACTAAGAAGCTTATTGCACTGTATATATATACATATATATATATATATATACAGTGCAATAATTCTTTCATGCTAAATGAAGCTCTGTTGCTTGGATATCACTAGATCCTGTTACAGCGTAATATAAAAGTACATAACGATTGATGTGTAAATTAGCATAATTACTAGCTAACCGCTAGCTGCTAACTGCCGCCTCGTTAATATCAAATCTATCATAATAACAAACCATTACCATGCTGTCATGAACGTGCAGTGCTGTTACGTGTACGCAAATTGACGTGCTTGATGTGAACGAGCATTGTTAAAGCTGTGCATGCGCTATGAGCGCACATACGGGTACTTCTCAGGCATGCCGGGTAATCTGTGACGTTTCGCTCTCTCAAAAGTTGGGCCATTTTATCATCATGCGCGAATGAGCAACTCTCATAGGAATGAATGAGGCCCCGCCTCCCACGCTGTATCCAGGGTTGCATTCGAATAGTCCATTTAGCTTAGGAACCTTCCTAACGGAGTGAAATGACCCGGAAGTCCCTCAGTGGCAGCCATGATAAGTGCCGTTCGAATTCTCTAAATTAAAAGGAAAGGAGGTTTCAAACTTCCTTTATAAGATCCTTTAGCCTAGGAACCACTGGACCTCCCTAACCGAAAGGATTGGAGAAAATGCTGCCCCACAATGCCTTGCGGCCGCAGCATTTGCCGTCACACACATACTTGCCAACCCTCCCGATTTTCGCGGGAGACTCCCGATTTCATTGCCCTCTCCCGGTTTCCTCCCGGGGTCATATTTCTCCCGCATTTCTCCCGATTTCTGACAAAATCAGATTTACTCAGAACTGTTTCCACTCGGACTTTAATACAGCTACACCATTGTTTGGTTTCCATGGTAGCGTAGCGCACGCAACTGAAAGTCTGAGAGGGTGAGGAAGATAGTCACAGCAAACAGAACAAGAATCGACAATTCTACCCTCTGCTCACTCCTTTCCTGTAAAATACAGGTCCAGCCCACACATATGGTGCTACAGGCCGCAAGGCAGTGCACTTACAACTACAATAAGCATGTTAATGTTAATCTAATACAGCTCCGGCGATCCACTAGCACCCCCCCCCCCCCCCCTCTTCGGTTGCTATGCTAACATGTTGGAGTAGAATACCTCTGCTACGCGCCGTTCGTTGGATGAGGCTGGATCTCTATTAAATTAAGAAAGGAATTGAAAACACCGGAATCAAAGTTATAACAAATTATCTGAGTTTACTTCTAGTAGGAAACCAAACACATATACAAGTTATACAGAGTACTCCGGGTACCCCGGGCTTTTAGATTTGTGATGCGATGCGGACAAATGCGTCAGGACCCGCCAACTCATCAAACCAAAAAGAAATTGGACTTCAGGTTTGTGATGCGATACGGACACAGTTCTCAGGACCTGCCACTCACCAAACCCAAAAGCAATTTTACACACACAAACGTCAGTATTTCTATCTGTCTTTGGGGCGGAGATTTGTCGATTCTTCCTTCCCACTTTTCTCCCAAGCGAATTAGAGAACCCCTGGGGAGGAGCTGTTTAAGCTGACCACCTCCCCCAAGTGTCCTGATTGGCTGGATTCGCTTCTGGTCTGGTTCAATCAGAGTTCGGACCATAAAGTTCCATAAGGTCAAAAGTCAATGTTTATCTTTACCTTATCTTACTCTACATTCCTTTCCCAGGGGATATTTTCACCTAACCTTCCCTCCTTCCGACATTTAAACTCTTCCTCACCTATTTAATGATGTGTCTTTAACGACTTAATGACCGCATCTGGCTTTTAGGGATGATAAGGATGTTGGTGTGTTGAAACACAGAATCTCTGAGCCAGTGAATTTAAAAGTGAGAATAACATTCTTTTTCTAAGTGATTATCTAAAACAGTTCAAAATAATACATGTTTACTTCAATATAGTGTAGAATCATATCTTCTTACTTCAAACATCACCCATGTTATACCAGAGAAACTTTCATAACAGCGTTGTGATGCCAAACAGCGTCAATTCAGACTGACACACATTCACTTAAGGGGAACTGGGGATATGTATCAGCTGCTTGTGTGACAGTCAGACAGTGACGCAGTCGTCAGACAGTGACGCAGTCGTCCCCCCACCCCCCCCCCCCCCGTTGTTGTTGTTGTGAGCTCCGTTGGGGAGAAAATCAGCGATGTAAACGGTGACGTCATGACGCAGCAGCGGCAGCTGGGCGGTGTGAACAGAGCGGGAGCTGAAAAGGGAAACCGGAGCTGAACCAGAAAAGCTCTAGCTAGGAGCTAGAAAGGGAAAAGCGCTGGTGTGGGCTTTCACACCAGCGCTTTTCCGAGCCTCGTCGTTCTGATAGCTCCGCCCCTTCGCTCCAACCCCCCTCCCTCCCCCCACATCTACAGGTGAAAATTACTTTTGCGACACATTCATCGCAAGAAGTGTAGCAAAAGTCAAGGCTGCAGATTCGTGGATTTATACTGCCACAGAGCAGATTCGTGAAGTTGTAATGACTGATTTGAGAGGTTGTAATAATCAAGTTGCAGTTGTAATGGAAAATATATTTAAAAAAAATATATTTTTCTGCAAGTGAACATTGCATCACTAAGTTCATTTTTTTTCTACAAGCTACAAAACTTTTTTTTTTTCTTCTGTGACTTCAAATGTGGTTCACAGATACATGGATATTTTATACAAGTGTAAATGTATGCACACAAGCTCAGATTTCTTTTCTGCAAGTGCTCACATCAGGTTTTACACGCTCTCGCATTTTGCACCATATCTACCTTCATAGAATTCACCTCTTTCCAGAACAGTTTCATTTAAACTCAAATAAACAGCAACTGCATGCAAAGGAATAAATAAACGAAATTATTATATCAAATGAAGCTATGCATATCACAAACAATCAGTCGGAGCATTTCTGTGGTGACTTTTGGATCAAAACAATATTTTTCTTGACGTATTTTCTTACTGTGGTGAGCCATACAAAAGCTGAAAGGCCTCAGACCAAACACCAGGGGTTTTAAAGATTATTAGAAAGATCAGTACCAGTCTCAGTCAAATTTGAACACACGACGCACATACTCTATTTTTACATGCAGAATGACTTACACTTCTCGAATATCACTTCCACCATCTCAAAGAAACCTCCATAAATCCGTGTAACTCCAGAACTTGACTGAAAATCCTCAAATGTTTGAGTTTCCTTCAGTATCAAAGTAATCCAGTGCTAGCTGTATGTTTTCCTTTGGGACATTGCAAACTAGCAAGCTAATGTAGCATTCACAGGGCTCAAGTTGTAGCCTACCACCAACGAAGCTTAAAGGTCCAATGTCATGCTTTTCCGGTTATTACCCGTCCCATTGTGTGTTATGAAGGTTTTTATGCATGTAAACGGTCTGCAAAGTCACAAACCCTCAAAGTACACCCTGTAGCGAGTAAAACTCTAACACAGAAAATACCTGTCTATGCTGCCCCAGAACGCCTCGTTGGAGATTTCTCTTTTTCCATTGTTTTCTTCCTGGGTACAGTGACGTGCCCATGCCCAAATGGACCCATTGGTCCAAATGGACCAATCCGTGGAGCCGTTACGTTACGTCCGCAGAGCCGTTACGTCACACACACACACTCAATATTTTCCCTCCCTGAGACACGGCGAGGCTGTGAGTCAGTGTGTGAGCACACACACAGACTCCCAGCCAGGCTGCGGGTGTGTGTGTGTGTTCGGGCTGGTTTCGCTGTGTCTCGCTGTCTCGCAGACGGCCATGGGCTCATAGGGAGGGGGGGGCAGGAGCTCCAACAAGCCGTTTAGGACAGAGAGTGAATACACATACTATACAGAGATGCTGTATGAGAAACCAATGTGATTTTGGAAAATTACACAATATAAATCTATTTTAGTAGACCTCAACAATGGAATTATGATCAGTAGAAATGGCCATGACATGGGACCTTTAATGACATCCCCTTATTTTTTTTAAATAGGCCTGTTAAGGGTTTTCCACAAAAGCTCCGTGACTATGGGAGGTTTCTGTGGGAGATACTACACTTGCAAATGAATTGCTCCTGTCCAAATTGTTTGTAGCCTTTGCACTTTAACATGCTAGCCCAGTCTTTAAAGGGACAGTACTAAACTCTTGTAGTAGACCTGTCTAGCCATTCAATCACTTTTGGTTTAAGCAGTGCTTGAAATATTAATCACTGAGGTTTGATTTGCTGCAAAATTAAAATGGTTGTGATTAGAATGGTATAGGCTGCTCAAATAATAAAAAAAACCTGTATATAGATGTTCTCTATCTCCACTTGACTTGACTTGACTTTGTCCTCAAAATGAGAAATAAAAAGCTTTTTCTTTCAGTGTTCAACAGGAAATCAATGTGAAAGTTATAGATCAAAGTGTCGCTGAATTCTCTGAAAGATTACATTTTGATTAAATGAATACCCTTGAGGACATGTGCAGGTGAAGCATATTGATTGTCATTGTAATCTCAAAATAACCAGAAATGTGAGGTTGATTACTTCTTTTACTATTGATTAATTGTTGATTATGCTCTCTTCGTTATTTCAAGGTTGGCCTCTAGCAACATGGATATCTTCACAAACGGGGATTTAGGTGTTGACGGTAACACAAGCCATGAAACAGGACAAGAAAGACTAGAAGGCACCAAAAGCCAAGGATACAACCACAGCGACCCCCTGGACATGTTCATAGGCATAGAGCTTCTTCTACGTTTCAAACCTCTCTTCCTGCCACTCTATTCCCTCGTAGTGGTCGTGGCTGGTGTCGGAAACTCCTTCCTGTTGGCTTGCATCTTGTCTGACAAAAAACTACACAATGCCACCAACTTTTTCATCAGTAACTTAGCAGCTGGAGACTTGCTGATGTGTTTGACTTGTGTTCCACTGACTGTGTCTTATGCCTTCGACAGTCGTGGCTGGGCTTTTGGAAGAGTCCTCTGCCATTTGGTCCCCTTGCTGCAATGTGCGACAGTGTTCGTATCTGTGCTTTCACTCACTGCCATTGCTGTGGATCGCTACGTTGTTGTGGGTAAGGGATATTACATTATTTGTTTATTTTTTGAGAATTTCTTAATAAACATGCTATTTGCAGGATTTTTAAATGTGTTCCTTTGCAACCAAATGGTGTTATCAAAAAAGACATGAATGCATGATAAAAAAAAAAACATAATATGGAACACAAATACTTTGGTTTTCAGAATTATTTAAAATATGTTAAATACAATGCAAATCTAACATTTTATCGTTGTTTAAATATGAGTAATTCTGTATTGCTTTGGTTTTCATTCATGCTATTTTTCCTTCCTGTCTCAGCTCACCCAGTACGGAGGAGGATCTCTGTGTGGAGTTGTGGGGCAGTGAGTCTGGGTGTGTGGCTTTTATCTTTGGCCCTGGCTGCACCTCAGTCTCTTTACACACGCTACATGGACCTGCGACCCAATGGCATCAACCTCGTAGTGTGTGAAGAATTCTGGCCTCATACTGGCAATCTGCGGCTGCTCTACTCCTGCTTCACTCTCATTGCCTCTTATATGATCCCGTTGCTGTCAGTCAGCATATCTTATTGTGCCATCACTGTTAGCCTGAAACGCTATTCAGTGCCTGGGGAGCCATCAAACAGCCAGCAGCGATGGAGCCAGAGGAGAAGGAAGACCTTCTCACTGCTGGTGGCCTCAGTGCTGGCTTTCGCCCTGTGTTGGCTGCCTCTGCAGGTGAGTCCCTGGTCCAGACTGTAAAATTCTTAACTGAAGCCAAACTTCGAGCCAATTTTAGCTCGACTACTCTTCTCTCTTGCTCCTTATATAACCTGCTACATGGATTTTGATTACAATCTTGATTCAGGAGTAGGGCTTTGGCGGAAGATCTAGTCAATTCTTCCTAGGTATCTACTAGGAAATGCACAAACTCAACGGCAGTAAAAAGATGAAAAGGGGAAAATCTTTAACTGACAATAAGATAATGAATGTTATAAATCATTAACCACAGAACCTTATTTTCAGGTACACCATGGCCACAAAACGAACTGTCTGCAATGAGCAATGCAAACAACTAACACCGAGGATTTTATCATCATGGTAGAATAGCTCAGACCTTTCATTGCAGTAGGATTACACAAACAATGAGCCACATTCCAAACACCAAAGAGTGCTTACACACAAATCACAAATGGTTGCAGAAATGTGTAAATACAAGTAAATACAGCCAGGTTTTTCCATGTCACTGTGTAGGTGCTGACCCTGATGCTGGACCTGGACCCAGACTTCCACATCATAGGGAAGCGCTACATAAATGTTTTACAAGTCTGCTGTCATTTAGTAGCTATGAGCTCTGCGTGTTACAACCCTTTTATCTACGCCTCACTGCACAGCAAGGTGCGCATGCACCTGAAAGGCTACCTCTGTCCCTGTCGTCATCATCAGAGGGAGATGGTGGAGAGGGTGTCGTCCAGGAGCTGATTTTAGGCTGTGCCCTATTTGATATAACTGCTGTAGCATCGCCTGACACCCAGAGCCCTGTCCTTGCCCACAAGCTATCGGCTGCACCCCTAACAACCATCTTAAGGCCTGAGTTCAGGAAAACAAGGCAAACGCTTCATTGTACTTAAAAGCAAGGAATATGTCTGTCTGTCTGTCTGTCTGTCTGTCTGTCTGTCTGTCTGTCTGTCTGTCTGTCTGTCTGTCTCTCCGTACGTCTGTCAGTCTCTCCATCTGTCTGTCTCTCCGTACGTCTGTCAGTCTCTCCATCTCTCCGTCTGTCCGTCTGTGCGTCTGTCTGTCTGTTTGTCTGTCCGTCTGTCTCCATCTGTCCGTCTCTCCATCTGATAGCTTAAGAACCGTTAATCCTACCTTCATCACTCATGGCAGGCTGGTGTGGACCCAAGGACACGCAGATTCAGATTTGATGTTATTTGGACACGCAACAAGTGATATATTAATACACTTTGAATAAACAAGCAACCTTTTTGTTAAGGGCTTCTTGGCTCGACACACTGACCATTGGCTTCAGTTCACTTTTGCTGTTAACTCACATCCCTGAACGAACGATGAGCGACTCTTGTCAGCAATATCAGGAGTCTGTTCTGAATTTGCATTGCATACCAGTTTTCTCAATGTGTTTCCAGAATGCTGTGACATTTTGTCCTAGTGTCCCCAGAGTAAGTTCTAAATAAGGCCACTTGTGACAAAAAGGCATACCAGATTGTAGTTCAGGATGATGATCAAGAAGATTCCACTGGGATCCCTGTGTTTTTGTTGGACGGTGTAGCTGCTGGCATAGACACTAAGCAGATCCTGCAGCTTGAACAGGCAGCAGAGCTGTGAAGCAGACATGCTGGAGGCTCAGGCCAGGGGCTGCGGGGCCTGGTTTAACTTAAACAGTAAATGTTCAGGGAGCCGACCCTACCATGAACTCTTCTTCACCAGACATGGATTGCAGGCCGTTGTAGACATATAGATACCAGATGGTTTTTCCATATCCCTGCTGCTGAATGCCTTTGCTTAAAAATAAGATGTGTATCTCTCATATTGCATCACCTTGATTATATTAGATATTAAAAAAATAATAATAATGTTGCCTGCTAATTTAGTATAATTATGTAGTAGCTGTTCTCTGTGGTTTGGTTCCACTTTTATGTCACCTGTTCACATGGATTAATATGATTGCATTTGCATGTATGTAAGTTTATATTAGTTTGTATGGACCTGCGTGGAACAGATATAATATGTACAGCACTGGGAGAAAAAATATGCGGCCTTATAGTGACCTTCAGACCTCTCTGTAAAAAATTGAATTCTTATCAGATTCATAAATGTTACTTTCAATCTCAGTGGCTGGGCTCTGTCTCGAGAAACATGTAAACATAATATTCAGAGTATGAGACACTAAGTTTCCATCCACTAGGATTTATGCTTTCTGTGCCAAAGCTTGACTATTCAATATATTTTTGCATATGTCTTCTGTTAAATAATTCACCAAAGAACTTGCTATTGTGATATAAATTGTATTACATGGCATCGGATTTAGTTAACCTGGTTATTGAGGTACTACAGTTTACATAACTATTGTTGCTTTTAAATTACAATACATGTTTTTCTACTGCTAGGTGGAAGGATAGACAAAACACGATCAAGGTGCAGGGCAGATCATCAACAACCAGCTCACTCTTAAATGCCAAAATACAATTTGTTCGGTCAGCCAAGTGGTAGTGTAGCATTTGTTTTAGAAAATAATCCCCGGCTCCCCAGCCAACGCTGATGATGCCAATTGTCCCCTCTCAACAATCAGATTACTTTGCTGTTTGTTGTTTGGGTACCATGGCTTTTCCATCCAAGTCAACCTTGCGTTCAGCTCTCAATTGCATTTTTGGCCAGGCGCTCTTACTTAAATGGTCTCTAAAAATGGGAATTTCACCTTCATTTGTTGCCATGATTCCAAACACATTGTCATTCCACAGTTAAAGACCTTTCAATTTGATTTGAAATATTCTAGTTAAGTATTTCTGGACTTGAAATACTAGCGATTATAAGCAATCAAAAACCTAAGGACCTAAAGTAACAGATAAAGAGGAAACATACCTTGCACTGTTTTTAATCAGTTCTGCAAAAGCATTGATTTTACTGTAACGGTATATTAGACTCTAAAAACAGAGTGAGTCTGTAAGCACAAACAAAAACAAAGAAAAATCCTCTTCTGCAGTGTAATCAAAACAAAGTGATTGCACTGTGGGGTAAATATCTAATATTACACCACCATTTTTCTGCCTCAGTCTAGTCATTAGTTACAAGCAGATGATGCCTTAATACCGAGAGAAATCTTGCTAAAACGCGACTGTCGTAAATAAGAATAAAGAAAACACAACAAATAGACCCAAGATAAAGAGATGCTTTTTGCCCCTATTTGGAATTCTAAAGACCATAAGTCTGACAATTCTTCACAACCACTTCAGCTGTTTGGATAAGGCTGAAAGCTGGACCAGTTCATTCGCTTCATATTCAGATAAACAAACAAAGCTCCTTAAAGTGAAGAGTTAGACTTGCTTGTGGCCTCTTGTTTTATAAACCAGACACATGTCACTGAACAACCAATGATGACGCAACTTTTAAAAGAAAAGTTCAAGTGAAAAAGTGCCACATGAAAAATAAGGTTATTCAAAACTATACTGCAGGTTATTATTTTTAGTGGAATCACAAATATGCTTTCTTGTCATCAAATTAAAAAAAATATATATTGTTTTGAAAAATGTAAGTGGTTTATTATAATTGACTAAATCATTGTTTGTTTCCCTGTTTCTTAATGGGTGTTTTAGCTTGTCAACGAGAAAAATAAAAAATATATTGTGGCTACGTCTATTGTACATGCAAGCACACTGGTGCACAAGAAAAAAACATCAAAATATACATCTAACCAGGTGTAAAAGCTAAGTTGAATTTGTTTCTGTCTGTGAATTAAAACTGTAAGGGAAATGTTGTGTCTTTATTTTGTAACTTCAACAATCATCAACAAAAAACTGGGAACTCTGTTAAAGGAAGCTACCTTTTTCTAATTACCTTTAATATTAACATTGTTGATATAAACATATTGAGATGGATAGATGGATGGATAGATAGATAGATAGATAGATAGATAGATAGATAGATAGATAGATAGATAGATAGATAGATAGATAGATAGATAGATAGATAGATAGATAGATAGATAGATAGATAGATAGATAGATAGATAGATAGATGGACGGACGGACGGACAGATAGATAGATATAGATAGATAGATAGATAGATAGATAGATAGATAGATAGATAGATAGACAGATAGACAGACAGACAGACAGACAGACAGACAGATAGAAATAGATGGATTAATCATGTTGGAAATTAAGTTTGCCTTGTGAAGCATCAAATCTATTGATAGACCACTTTGGCGTTGTGGTTCAGAAATGCATTAGGACAAATTGAGTTTGATTATTGAGACTTTCTGCTTCATTATGACGAGGCAGCGGGAGAGCAGTTTATTTTTGCTCTAATTAGCAGTGATTGCACATCATGGAAGGGAAAATAAAAAAAGACTTTATATTGAATGCTGTTTTGTATGTATCATAATAGGTTCAAGGTTCAGGGTTCAATGCTTTTATTAGTCATACGTACATAGATACAGTGTAGTTATATTGATGAAAATCTTAGGTCACAGGCTCTTCCAACAGTGCAACACAATAAAACTGAAAAACTGAAAATTTTTTGCAAGTAAACACAAAAGAAAAATAGTAAAATAGTGAAATAGTGCAATAAGAGTCTATATACAAGTGATTGGAATATGATATATTAGATAAATAATTTCTAAATTGCAGCCAGATGAATGTTATGGATGTTGTTTCAAAAGTTCAGGTTTTTAGCAGTCTTATAGCCTGTGGGATGAAACTGTCCCTGAGTCTGGTGGTTTTAGTCCGGATGCTGCGGTACCGCCTGCCAGACGGCAGCAGACAGAACAGTTTGTGGCTGGAGTGATGGGGGTCTTTTGTAATCCTGAGGGCTTTCTTCCTGAGCCGCTGGGAGTAAAGATCCTCCATGGATGGCTGCTCCGTCGTAATACTGAATTAAACACTAAAATAACTTCAGTCTAGTATTAACTTCATTCTGACCCACCCTGCATCATGAGCCTGTGAGTCACAACAGCGAATCAATGAAAGTGCATTGATTTACCACGGCTACAGTCTGAGTAAGCTCATTAAAAGCTGAGCCTGGAGAAAATGGATCTGTAATATCTTGGACCTTATGCCACAATATGATGGACTGCAGCTTTGGGTAATTTCTTTCCAACTTGACTGCAGTCAAATCACTTTTTCAAGTAGTTCTTCTTGAAATTGCCTTGGGCTCTGACTGGTAAGAGTATTGAGAGGAAATAATAGAGTGAGGAAAGGACATCTTTTGGGAGCCTTTCATGAATTCATAAATGAATTAGGGACTTATTTTTCTTACAAGTCTCTCTAAGCAGACAGACTAACCAAACCGAGAATCTGATATGGAAGATTAATCCTCACCAGTGTTATTTTCAGATGCTGGCATCATTATTTACTTTCCATGCTTTATCCATCTCTGAATACTTTCCAACTTCCTAAAACTGTTTCCTTCCTGCCTACCAAAGATGATTTCCTAGAACAGCTGGGTAAGGCAAGGCAAGGCAAGTTTATTTATATAGCACCTTTCAACACAAGGCAATTCAAAGTGCTTTACAAAAAATGAAAGACATTAAGAAAATGGCATTTAAAATCAGTCATTAAAAAGAAAAGATAATAAAATAAACATTAAAAGAAAAAATACATGGATAAAAGTTACAGTGCAGTTTAAGATGTGAATAGTTCAATTAAAAGCAGCGGCAAAAAGACAAGTCTTTAGTCTGGATTTAAAAGTAGTCAGAGTTGCAGCGGACCTGCAGGTTTCTGGGAGTTTGTTCCAGATATTTGGA